AGGAATGCCAGGCTTGAAGGAATGGGTAATCAGAGAAGGCTTGCTGGGGGGGTAGATGAGTCTGACCACCAGCAGAGCAAATCCTGGGGGCTGGTAGGTCTCACATGAAAGTCCAGAAGTCCCGGACACCCGCCACTGGCTGGGCGTGGTGACCTGGCCCCGTGGAGAGAGAAGCCTCCTGGCGAAACGTGGCCACCGTGAAGCTGGGGTGTGGGCCCCCCTGAGAATCCTGGGTCCTTGAGTCACAGCTGAAACAGCAGAGGATGCAGGTGATGGCCACGGTGACCACGAATAGCACGGCCACCATTCCAATCACTGCTGTTTCCATGGCCCCGTTTGGCCACTGACCCACTGAGCAACCCGGGATGCGTCTCAGACCTTAGCTCCCCATCCGAAGCGAGGGGCTCTTGGTGATGGCAGGTACCCTTGCTCCTCCAGCTGCTCTCCCGGTGGTCTTCTAAGAAGATACCAGTCTGAGGCCCTGGCTGGTGCCCCCTCTGGGCCGTTGGGTGCCCCACATGGCTCTACTCCGACCTCAGGGGTTCTCTACCACTGTTTTCTAAGCCTCGGGCCAGGTTTCTAAGAGCCATGGGCAACTCCCCTGGCAGCTCTGGAAGAAGCGCTGTCCTGAAAGATGTGAGCTCAAGACTTCCTGGATGCAGGGGGCTGGAAGGAGAAGGCAGAAGACTGCTCAGAGGGAGCCTCACTAACCCGGCCCTCTGATGACGCATATGGAGTTCACAAGTGTTTGTACACTCAGACAAAAGACAAAATACTCCCCATCCTGTGGATCCAAGATGAGCCCAGGCTCCTCCCCTGGAGGAACCTTGGGCCAGTCCTTGAATCAGCCCCTGGCCCTGTGCTGGGGGCAGGAACCAAAGTGGGGAGGAGGCAACGGCAGCTCTGGGCCAGATGCAGGGAGTGCTGCTAGGAAACAAGTGCCCTTTCATTCGGCCTCCTTTTCTGCACTGGCTGGGAGAGTGCTGTTGAGATAAGGCAGGTCATGCTCCGGGAGGGATATCTGAACCCTTCAGTAACTACTGTGGGCTCCTTAGTCCCTCTCTCAGGTCTTCTGCTCCAGCCTCCCCGCAGCCCTCCTCGCTGCATGCTCGTGCGGTGAAAACTTACCCTGGGCTCCGCGAGGGACAGCTCTGGCTGTACGCAGTGCCGTGGGCTCCTGGCCCGGTGGCCACCCCAGGAGCCAGGCCATGGCACACTCATTCCCAGGGTACTGCAGCCTTGGTCCTGCCTGGGACGAGGCTCTGAGATGTCTGAGCGGCTGTGAGCACTTCCTGCATTCCTTCCTCCAATTGTGAGTGAGGGCCCAGGACCCGCACAGCTGCCAGCCCCCTTGGTGACTGCACTCACCCGACCTCACCCCCCATGCACACCCATGCCACTCCAGCCCTGCTCCCTGCCAGGGTCTCCACTTCACCAGCTCAGGGGAGGGTGTGAGCCAGGCCCAGGCCACAAGTCTGCCAGAAGGGGCTCCATCCTGACTGTCACTCGGTCACAGCCCTTCCACAGCCAACACCTCCTGAGACCACCACCACTTCCGGAAAGTAGACTAGGTTATTAGCCTCACTTTACCCAACCTTGGAGAAAAGGCATTGTGAGAAACAATAATTCCAGGTACTAGACAGGTCAGGCACTGTCTAGTATCATGGTTCCAGCAACACTGCGAAGTGATATTATCTCCATTTCAGAGATAACAGTGCCCATAGTCACAGAGGTTAAATGCCCTGCCCAAGGCCTACTGCTAGTTAGTAGTGATAACTAGAGTACCAAATCGTCTAGGAGGGGCTTCCTCCCTTTCCTCTTAGTTTGATGCTCTCTCTAGGTACCACCTAGAGCAGTTGCCTCCTTCTACAGTTTTACTGATCAGAGTGCAAAGACCCAGAGAGGGCCAAGGCCTAGCCCAGGGTCACACAGCCTGGGTCCTTTTCAATTTCTCCAAGGCCCAGTGAACTTTCTTTGGTACTAGTTGTAGGAAACTGCCTACACACAGAATGGGAGAGTGACAATTCGGAGTAAATGATACCCTGCTAAATTCTCTCCCCTCCCTTTTCTAAGATGACCGGACACCCACACAGAGGAGGAGCCTGGAGCCAGCGGGGGCTGTGACAGGAAGCTGGACACTTTGAATTATTTGTATTAGCTGGGGCCACGAGAAGCAGGAGACAGGAAACATGATGAGCCAATCTGTGGGGCCTGTGGTTTCAGACTGAATTACTAAAATCAATTAGTCAGTTTGGGAGATGGAGGGCACCAGGGGAACTGCTTGCCCTAAGGGTTTATTCCAGGTATTTTCTCTTCTTGTGACTTTTGTAATCCTATGATAGACAGTCCCTGCCTATGAGCCCCAGACGCAATGGGGCTCCCAAAGATGTCTACCACTTAGACACACATCTGTCCTCCCAGCATCCATCACTATCTACTGGTCAGAAGAAAGACCACGCCCCATACATTCCATATATATATATATTTCTTTTTTCTTTTGGCCTTACCACATGGCACGTGGGATATTAATTCCCCCACTAGTGATCGAACCTGCACCCCCTACAGTGGAAGCTCAGTCTTAACCACTGGATCACCAGGGAAGTCCCCCATACATCCCACTTACATTAACAAGGGAAAAGGTGATGGCAGGCATCCTGGTTCTCCCAGAGGATGCTCGAAGCCACACTTAGGAAAGACAGGCCAGCCAAGGCTGACATGGGGCTCTGCAGAGGGATGGGGGGCATGGTCCAAGCCAGCAGGCTACAGACCTCCACACACCCCCAACACTGGGGAGATAGGGTAGGAACACAAGCTCCCTCAGCAAGGCCCCAGGAGCTCAACGGCCTAATCCTTACAGGGTCCTACTGCTATACCTGGTGTCCCTGAAGCCCCAAGCTTCTGGTAGTGGTTATTCCAAGCACATTTACTTTTCTAGAGAGCATGAGGCTCTGGGAATCCTTCCTGAGCATCTGTTGTGTGGACTGGTCCCACCCTGGGCAGTGGGGAGCCCTCAAAGAGTTCTCAGACCTATGAAGCCAGGGGCCTTTGAATCTTGCCGTAAATCTCTAGGGAAAGAGAGTGTTCAGTGTGCCAACAGAAATAACGATAACAACAACAATAATAATAAATTGGAAACCCATAGGAGTAACAAATTCGTCTTGGTCAAAGACACAGAGAAGGGAAGGTGCAGGGTGTTTTCTGAGCCTGAGGACTGGAGCAGTGCGGATAGGACAAAAGGAACACGAGTAGGCACGAAACAGACCAGGGGGCCTTGAATGGCCAACCAGGAGGCAGAGACTTTGTTCCAAGGGCAGTGAGGAGGCTACAGTGTGGGGACACTTCACAAAGGGGCAGGGCTGGAGGTAGGCAGCCCAGAGGGCCTGCGGCAGGAGTCCAGGCTGGGGATGAGCTAAGGGCAGCCGTAGGGGGAGGCGGGTTCAAAAGGCACCGTAGACCCTGATCCACTTTCCCAAGCCTGCAGTCTAGTCCAGCTCTCAGTGTGAACTTGCCTCCCTCTCGCCCTTCCACCCCTTCCCATCCCAGCCCTCACAGAGAATCCACCAGGAAATAGAAAAGAAACAGGACATTCTGTTCCAGTGAGTCAGTCACCAGGCCCCGGACTTTCTGGCCTGTTCTCCAGCCCTCGCCTGGCCCCCAAGCCTCTCCCCCTCCACTTCCCACCCTGGCTCACAGGACTTCCTTCCTCAGGGGAGGCCTCAGAACAAGATTTCCTTCCTCACTTTGGAATTCCGTCAGCTGTTCTGGGGTATTTGGGTTCTGGTCTCCAGGCTTTGGCAAGAAGTTTCTGTCATCTATCCCATTTTAGGGAAGAGGAAACTGAGACTCCATTGAGGTGAGCACTCTCCCAAGGCCACCCAGAACCACACCCTCCCTCCCAGACACAGCGCCAGCCACACCCAAGCACAGGAGGGGTCAGGCTGTCTGGAGACTCAGGGCCTGGATAAGAAACCCTGACCCAGTTACCAAAGAAACATTAATTCAGCACAGCCCATGGAAGGGGGCTTCTGCAGCTCCAGAGCGCAGTCTGCCCTAGAGATGGACTGAAAAGAGCCCTGGAGTTAGAGCCCAGGGGCCAGCCTGGATGGCCTCTTCCCCCTCTGTCTGTCTGGGCAGGGCTGCCTGCAAACCCTAACCTCCCCCTCACCAGAGCTCAGGCCCCAGGCCTTCTCACCTACTGTCCTCGGAGCCCTGCAGAACCACCCAATCTCCCTGATGCAGGGCTTGCACCAGGCACTCGTTCCCACTGGAGAGGAAGGTACTGGGCGAGGCAGACACAGGGCTGGCTGCTCCCTCCCTCCTACTTGAGTTACAATCAAGAGCCTCTTCACAAAAGCTTCTTAGTGGTTTTTATTTTCTTGTATTAAGGCACCATTGACTTGACTGTGCAGCCTCAAGCTACCTTCTGCAAATGAAAGGGCGTTACCAGGGCGCCTCCCAGCTACCGCCCTGGCAGAGGCCTGGTTGTTCGGAGATAACAGGGTACACCTTCTGTGCATCCCCACACCCCTGTGCACCTGCACCAGACTGGCCGTCACTTCTGGTGCCCGTTGGGACTTACAGTCACAAGGTGGCGTCCGCCCCCGAAGGACCACCACCACCCCTGCTCTCAGCCCCGTCAGGGCCACCCCTGGTGCTCTTCATTTCTCTGCCTCCATAGCACATGGGGCACAGTAGGCGAATGAAGCCCAAGCAGGTCCCGATGTTCACCGCCGAGAGGTGCCCTTCTGCACGGGAACCTCGGGGTCCCCGCATCCTGGTGATGGTGGGGCAGGCTGCCATTCAGGCATCAGCGGCGGCCTCGCTGGGCCTGGTGGGCGTGGTGGGCGAGGTGATGGTGGTGATGGAGGGTCGCATGGGGCATGTGAGGCACACGACCAGAATAACGGAAATGGTGCAAGCGTCCCAGGTGGCCCCGGCCTGAGGAGATCGGAGGCTGGGCCCACCGGACTCGGTTTCTCCTTGCAGCAGGGTGGTTCCTCTCCACGTCAGGCTCCTCCTGTCTGCAGTACAAGCAGGCGGCCACCAGCAGCAGCAGCAGAAGAGCCACAGCAGTGCCTATGATCAAGCCCACGAGGGTCGTGCTCCCCAGGAAGCCCAGCATCTGGGAGTTGACAGCGGCCTCCGCTCGGTGGCTCCTCGCTGCTTCCTCCCCTTCGGCAGCCTCTGCTCAGCCCTCACAGTCACTGGACTTTGTTTTCTCAGCTCCTGTGGGCTGGAGAGCAGCCAGGGAATGTGGGTGCAGCCTCTTTGGGCTGGAGCTGCCAGCCAAGGGGAGGTCTGGCCACTGTTAGCTCTGGGGAGGCCCACAGCGAGGTTTGGTCGGGACAGAAGAGCTGAAAGGAGGGGCTGCGGGGTGGGGAGGGGCCGGAGGCTGGAGATAAGAGTCTAGGCCCCCAATCCTGCTGTTCGGCCAAGTGACTGGGCCAGCTCAGTCCCCTCCATGGGCTCCCTCCTCTCTGAGAGAGAGCACAGCACATGGGTTCTCAAACCACATGACTCACTTACCCTGTGATTGGGCACAAGTTTCCTAAACGCTCTGTGCCTCAGTTTCCTCATCTGTAAAATGGCTCATTAGAGCATATTTCCTCATAGGGTTTTCTGAGGATTCAAGGAGTTAAGATTTATAAGGCACTTAAACCGGGTCCTGACACATTTGCCACTGATATTAAGGCAGTGGAGTTTGGACCAGTCGACTTGGGAGACCTCATGCCATCTGAGAGTCTGCGGCTCCCTGTCCTGCAGCCCACAGAGGCCTCCTGGACTAGTCAGGTTCTATCGTGCAATTGTCCCACACTTCAGGAGCTCAGGCAGGCCCCGCAGGCAGAGTTTTACCATCCAGGGAAGCTGAACAACTGTCTCTGCGTCCTTGGTCCTGGTGGATCTGGGAGCTAAGAGGGTCTGGGTGTTAGCCCAGGGCTGCAGGAGGCAGGAAGGAGGCTGCTGAGGTCAGAGAGGCCCCAGTGCCAGCCTCCTGGCTTCCAACCAACAGGCTCAACTGGCCATAAACGGCAGGCCCTCGCTCCACCCCAGCCTCCCTGCCCAGCAGTTGTGACACGCCATTCCTGCCTGGGGGAGAATTTACAGAGGAGGCAGGACCTGAGCAGTTTCGCATCCCTCTCCCCTTCCTGGTCCTGAATCCTCTGTTCATCTAGACAAGCACTTACCCGTCCCACCCACACATCCAGGGATGGGCGCCCACTATCTCCCTGGACAGCCCCTTCTGCTGTGGGCTTGTCGGCCTGTTCTCACAGCTCTTCCTCACACACGGCAGGGCCTCCCCGAAGCCCCAGCTCTGCATCTCCATCCCGAGACCATGGACGCCCAGGGGCCCTCCACAGTGAGCCCACCACTGTGGGACCTTGAACAAGCCCCTCCCCTGCAGCCTGTTTCCTCCTCTGGAAAAGTGCCAGGGCAAGAGGTGACCTCTGGGGACCTTCCCTCTCTGACCTCAATCTGAGATGAGCTCTCTCAGGGAAGCCCCAAACCCTTAGGGCAAAGCTCCTCTGGATGGAAAAGCCAAGCATTCCCTTCAACCAAATTGGGCTCTGGGGGCAGCAGGTCTAATGAGTCCTGGGGCTTTCACCCTGGGGTGGGGGGCGTGGAGGGAGGAAGCCACTTGAACTTTTAATGATGCCCAAGTGAGAACTCCCTCCTGTGGCTTCTAGAGGCCTTCGAGCCCAGCTGCCTTCCCTGGGGGCCTGTTAAGGAGGGAAGTGTGCTGGAAGGAGGAGGAGGAAGCCAAACAGAACTTTCTCCTTCTTGGGAGCTTCTCCAAGGAATCTCCCACCCCACACCAGCCACGGGAGGGGGGCAGGGTCCTGCAACTGGCAGAACTCCAGTCAGCACTAAGGGCCTCTTGGAGTCACACAGACCCAGCCCTCACTGAGAGCCAGAGAAACTGAGGGAGGGGACTTGCCTAAGGTACCCCAGCTTTGTGGGCTATTCTAGACAGCAAATAATCAAGACAGCACGATTCCTGGAGTGAGGGGGGCTCCAGACTGAGAGCTGAGATCAGCTGAGGACCGTCCGCAGAGATAACAAGGAAAGGGTGTGCGGATTTGGATGACTTTGGGAGGGCCAGGGAATTGGGGGAGCTCCCCCATCCTACACACACATACACACACATTTATTTTCTTAAGTGCAGGGTCACTCTCCATCTGAACAGAAGATACAGTCCCAAGGTGGGCATTTGATTTGAAGCTTTGGGCACTCGGGAAGGTGTTGAGACCATGGTCCTCCAGGACGTCACAAGTGGCTGAGACCTCCTTGGAGGGCTTGCAGGACTGATGACCTTAGAGGATGTGTGGCTGTGTCTAGGGATTCCCTGCCTCAGAAAAGCTGTCCTGTGGCATTGTCACTGTATTTCTCCCTTAGGGTCGGGGCTTCTGCACGCTCCACAAGCAGCCTTCCAAGATAAGGGGCCAGAGTTCCAGAAAATACATACGGCTGATGGGTCAAGACTTTTGGAGTTCATATCATTAGCTTCATGCCCACGCTCTCCAGGGTGCACAGACCTCTGCATGGACTTGCACACATGCGCACACGTGTACACTTGTAAACCAACATTGCACTGAGAGCAAACTCATGCACCAAGAGTTGTGTGTGCACACACTTATACACAAGTGCACAAGTGCACACAAGTTCCCTACAAGCTCACAAACTTGTGCTTGTACTGGCTGCAAGTGGTTGTCGGTTGTCCCATGACAGCAACCATTGTTTTCACTAATTGGTGGCACCACCTAGCGGTGACACTGTAAATAAATCAATTTTGTATTCGGACCTGTCAAAAGTTATAGTTCCCTGGTGCGCAGTGGTTGAGAGTCCGCCTGCCGATGCAGGAGACACGGGTTCGTGCCCCGGTCCGCGAAGATCCCACGTGCCGCGGAGCGGCTAGGCCCGTGAGCCACGACTGCTGAGCCTGCGCGTCCGGAGCCTGTGCTCCGCAACGGGAGAGGCTGCAACAGTGAGAGGCCTGCGTACCGCAAAAAAAAAAAAAAAACGGATCATTTTTGTTGTTTAAGTAGAGAATCGCATGCAGAAATACAATCAAGGAGGTTTTTTCGTGGGGGGCGGAGTCAACATGGCGGACTAGGAGGACGTGGAATTCGCGTCTCCTCGCAACTAGGGCACCTACCAGGCACTGGTGGGGGACCACTGACACCTAAGGGAATGGGAGGAACCCCCAGCAACCGGGTAGGACCTGGGCGTTGGGGGGAGTGAGGGGGGAGGAGAAATGGAGGCGGGATGGGGCCCGGGGCCCCTGAAGGGCGGCTGGGGGAGGGGAAGGGATCCCATGCCCAGAGGGGGAAAGGAAGGGGCCATTGGGAGCACAAAGGATCAAAAGGGAGCATGGCCAGCATTTCCCATGCCCACTTGGGCCCCTGGGAGCCTGCTGAGATCCCGGGCCTGATCCTCTGCCCACTGAGGCCCCCTCCAGCCACGCGGGTCCTGAGGGAGTGGGAGGGATAGAAGGCGGAGCAAAAGTAAAGGCCGGACCTACGGGACAGGCACCCCTGAGGGGTGGTTGGGTGAGGGAAGGAGTTCCTACACCCAGCGGGACCCACCCACGGTTCGGGGTCCAGCGGGGACAGGGGAGACCCTGGTTGGGGGTCAGAGGAATAGAAGGGAACACAGCCAACACTTTCCCTGTCCGCTTAGGCACCGGGGAGCCTGTTGGGCTCCCAGGCCTAATCCTCTGCCCTCGGAGCCTCCCTTCTGCTGTGCCTCTACACCCCCACCCAGGGCCCTACCTCTACACTCAGAGGTAGCCCCTCTGAGACCCCCTCCAACTTTGCTGGGCCTAAACCCCACCCACACACCCTCACTCAGGGCCTTACCTCTAACTCCGGAAATCCACACTCCAGAAGTCCCCTTTCGGATGTGCTACCTCTCCCCTTCCGGGCAGGTCCTAAGCAGAGGCCCCACCCCACGCCAGAAAGTCACCCCCCACCCCGCCTAGGCCCCACCCATCCTAAACCCCACCCCTACCTAAGTTCCACCCCACCCCC